CATCAAATATCACGAAACTGCAACACATTATTGAGCTAAGTGTTGGTAGCATAAAGGTTAACTAATATCCATCTTCACATAAACAACTTCAACTTCTGCTCTTCATAAAAATGAAAAGTTTTCAAATTCTCAACCAGGGTCTTTCACAATTCCACTTCGATTCTATCTTTTCATTATTTTTCATTTAAGGTTTTGGCTTAATTATCTGCAAAATATTTACACTTCTAATTAACATGCAATTAATGTTTGTTTTACACAATGATTATAACAATTTACCTATTAGGTAGGTATAAGGAAGATTTATTACATTAATTAGGTAGTTTTAATGTTTAGACAGAGATTATGTAGGTATTAACAATCAATAAGTTTATTTATGTAGTTTGGTTAAGTAAACCTATGTTTTATAATTAAACCAGCATTGATTTTCCTGAGAAATCATCCAAAATCAGTTTCCTATAGAGGTTCATTTACCTCAAGGCACAGTAATCACTCACATGATATGATATCACTGTTATCAGATAAGAGTTATAATTACAAGAATACCTGATAACAGGATGGAACCGAAAAGGGTGGGGTGGTGTGCTTTTATTAGTCATTGCTTAATAACATTACCCCACGATGGGGAATAGTCACCCTAATTTCTGCGAAAACTACGACTGGGGGACAGTCCCAACTTAATTCGATTAGATTGACTTTCTGGAAACTTACAAGGTCAAGCATAGGTCTAATTTAACGAAAAGAATGCAATTAGAATAAAACACATGCTTAGAAATACACGAAAAGACGTCGTGTGTGGTACCCCCTGGTAACACGCCGAAAAATCAATATCGCGACGAAACAACACAAATTCCCGTAAATATATACCAAAGAACTTTTCGTTTACTCGTTTACTTCGCATTTTATTACGGTGTCATTCATAAAACACCGTAATTACGATTGTAACAAACTAATCGATGAACCTCGACGTCCGGGCGTGCGAGCACTGTTTACGTTATTATATCGCTACAGAAAAAGCGCTGAGCAACTAAACAGATGCTCAGCGAACCAGTAAATATTCCAGGCCTTAAAATAGCTCGATGCGTGCATTAACATCCATGTAATTATTTATTTGTTTTGCTAACGAAAGCACTGGTGCGATGAACTCAACGGTACCTACCTCATTTTGACGATATCCTTTGTCGAGACAAATCCGTATGCACTATTACACAGCACGAAACAATTGTTCACTTAAAAACTGCATATTTTCACAGACACAAACGGACATTTCTACATTATCGACTCGCATTCACGTCTGGGATACTTNTGATGATGACCTAATTGGAATTTATTTATGATTGGATATTATCCTGGTATGCCTATTAAGAAATATGTTCACATGTTGATGCACATGTAAAAATCTAGTAAGGTAAAGTCAACAGTTCATGAGACTACATTTTATATTTGCATAAGTTTTCCTATGCTATGATGAGGATTTCAACACGCCTGCGGTAAGGCCTAGGATGCGCGCCGCGATAAGCGGTTATCAGGGCCATTTTTAACCTACTAGGGGCCCTGGGCACATAAGGATCAAGGGATGCCCTTATCTGTAGAAAGATCTTTTATAAGAACAGACGGGGACCTAGATCGCGGGGCCCTGGACACGTACCCAGAGTGCCCAGTGGGAAAGAGGGGTCTGGCGGTACGCCATTTTATCGATTTAGCCCATACATTTTGACGTCGATAAAGTATATCACGACTAGCAATAGCCCGGCTGGTCTCTCAATCTGTGGCGTGCGTATAATCACGCTGCGGAAAAACGTGTAGGTACCTATTTACGAAATAATGAAATGCGGGAAGTCCGCATGCGGACTAAGGGAGCTACTCCAAAAATCGTAATCCGAAGTTTCGAATGCTGCCATCTCTCTCACGCATAGCGAGATACCAGCATGAGCGACGGTGACAGATGACCCGAAACTACACAAACAGCGTTTCAGAGTAGCCCCCTAGATCCGCACGCGTGGCGAAATCCGCATCATAGAAAAAAGGCACTAATGGCCATTTAATCTGTATGAAGTGTCACTGTGATTAGCTTAATGTGCCATCATCCAAAATATTTAGTCTAGGCGCAGACCACCGACTTTTAGTTGGCCGATAGTTGGGCCCGATTTTAATTTGTGAAGAATCGGCCGATACCAAATCGGTGTACTCAATTATCGACCAACTTCTTTCATAGCCACGATAGCCGAACGGTGAAGGGGTCGGAGTGGCCGACTCGAGATCCGAGGAACGCGGGTTCGAATCCCACCGCCGCTCGACTATTGTGGTGAGCCCACTCGTAATACAAGCTTATTTAGCTTAACACGAGGGGCTAATGGGACTATTAGTAATTTGGGCAATACAAATTGCTAATAATGTCGGTGGTCTGCGCCTAAGCTTAATTTTACTTATGACAGAGAAATGAGTGCAACTTCAAAGAATTGATAAAGTTGGTCAATACTTGGATTTAGGTACATGTCACAACTACAAACCTGTTTATTGTCACAAATATTGCACACTACTGTAAATTGTGTTACTGTATTTTACAAGGTCAGCTTTCATAATTAAGTATGTTAGAAATGCGAATTGCGTCAATACTAATTTCATTGTGTGTAGAAGTAGAAATATTTTATATGTAAATAAAAAACATACAATCGAATTGAAAATCCTCCTTTTTTGAAGTCGGTTAAATGAACTCAAATACATAACTTATTTGTAAGTAAAATTTACTAATTGGTAATGTATAATCTGTGATAGTCAGTGATTATCTCTGAAACAAGGGGTCGATTTACTACAGTATAAAAATAGATTAAGGCAATAGAAGTATGCTCAAGTTCCTTCTGCTTCTTTTTATTAGGGTTCCGTAGCCAAATGGCAAAAAACGGAACCCTTGTAGATTCGTCATGTCTGTCTGTCCGTCCGCATGTCACAGCCATTTTTATACTGCTAGGACAGGTGAGAAGACAATCTGATAATTTGTAGATAATGTAAATGTCTATTCTAAAAGCTGTGACATTTGTTTCTTCAAAAACTATAATAAAATAAGGAATGTCAATAGACCATGTAAACATCAAATATCACACAATGAAACTGCAACACATTATTGAGTTAGTGTAGGTACATAAAGAGTACATATGGGGTATATTTCATCTTCACATAAACAACTTCAACTTCTGCTCTTCATAAAAATGAAAAGTTTTCAAATTGTCAGCCAGGGTCTTTCACAATTCCACTTCGATTCTATCTTTTCATTATTTTTCATTTAAGATTTTGGCTTCATTATCTGTAAAATATTTACACTTATTTAACATTCAATTAATGTTTGTTTTACACAATGATTATAACAATTTACCTATTAGGTAGGTATAAGGAAGATTTATTACATTAATTAGGTAGTTTTAATGTTTAGATAGAGATTATGTAGGTATTAACAATCAATAAGTTTATTTATGTAGTTTGCTTAAGTAAACCTATGTTTTATAATTAAACCAGCATTGATTTTCCTGATAAATCATCCAAAATCAGTTTCCTATATAGAGGTTCATTTACCTCAAGGTACAGTAATCACTCACATGATATGATATCACTGTTATCAGATAAGAGTTATAATTACAAGAATACCTGATAACAGGATGCGACCGAAAAGGGTGGGGTGGTATGCTTTTATTAGTCATTGCCTAATAACTTTACCCCACGATGGGGAATCGTCACCCCAATTTCTGCGAAAACTACGACTGGGGGACAGTCCCAACTTAATTTGATTCGATTGACTTTCTGGAAACTTACAAGGTCAAGCATAGGTCTAATTTAACGAAAAGAATGCAATTAGAATAAAACACATGCTTAGAAATACACGAAAAGACGTCGTGTGTGGTACCCCCTGGTAACACGCCGAAAAATCAATATCGCGACGAAACAACACAAATTCCCGTAAATATATACCAAAGAACTTTTCGTTTACTCGTTTACTTCGCATTTTATTACGGTGTCATTCATAAAACACCGTAATTACGATTGTAACAAACTAATCGATGAACCTCGACGTCCGGGCGTGCGAGCACTGTTTACGTTATTATATCGCTACAGAAAAAGCGCTGAGCAACTAAACAGATGCTCAGCGAACCAGTAAATATTCCAGGCCTTAAAATAGCTCGATGCGTGCATTAACATCCATGTAATTATTTATTTGTTTTGCTAACGAAAGCACTGGTGCGATGAACTCAACGGTACCTACCTCATTTTGACGATATCCTTTGTCGAGACAAATCCGTATGCACTATTACACAGCACGAAACAATTGTTCACTTAAAAACTGCATATTTTCACAGACACAAACGGACATTTCTACATTATCGACTCGCATTCACGTCTGGGATACTTCGGTGGGTAGCCATATTTGTCAAAAACACTTTTACGTCCCGTTTCCCGATTTTCGAAGGATGAGAGCGAGAGGACGCTAGCACCGCACCGAGACAACGAAATCAACGAATGAAAATAAATGGATCATTGAACTGGGCCGGGTACAACTAAAGTCCGAACTACGCTATGGTAGCCTTTGGAAAAACGTTGCGCCTATGTTCACTCTTTACAAAACTGCTTTTGAAACTACACGCGCCCCTTGTTTCGGAACGATTGCGTTTTGCGCGACTCCCAGAAACGGTCGGTTAATACAGTGGACCAATCACAGTGCGTGGGATGAGAAAATTTGAGACATACACTGCCATCTATTAGCCGTTTTGTTAAAGTTTTTGACTTAATACGAATGAGTCATTGTTTTTAGCTGGCAACACTCATGCTAATTTGCTGAACATTTTGCTTAGAATCATTGGCACTTTTGAAAGAAAGGTACTGTGCTCCATAATAGCATTTTTTTACACTACATTAATCATAGAAAACCCTCAAAAATAAGGTCATAAAAGCGCTTATAATATATTCTCAAATGGTAACATTGTTCTATTTTTTTACGAAGTCGTCAAAAACTGACATTGACAGAAGGTAGCGTTTCGGGAAAAAGTCAGCCTGTTTTTCTTTTGATAAACAGTTCCTTTTTCGAAAACATAAAAATAATGGTGGGCGCAATGCCTGTTAATTTAATACCAAAATTTTGTAACGGTACCATGGACAGTCATAATGGTACTGACGACTCGGAGTTTCAAGTGCATATTGGTAGTCGCATCAAGTCGAATGATGATTTTGGTACTGTGAAATATATTGGTGAAGTGCAGGGGTATAAGGGTATTTGGTACGGGGTAGAGTGGGACGATCCTGCTAGGGGAAAGCATGATGGTTCTGTGGAGGACGTGCAGTACTTCAAGACGTCTAAACCAGGTGCTGGGTCTTTCATTCGGACGAACAAGATCGCTCCATTCCGGACGTGTGCGGAGGCAATCAGAAAGTACTACGGCGATCGAGAGGTATGCCTGATGCTAACGAGTCATTTCCTGGAATGTGAACATAGTGAAACTCCTTGGTAATGGCTTGATTATACAAATTAGGTCATATACTCCCACTGTGCAGTTTTATTGTACTCCTTACTTTATCCTTGCGTGGGTGTACCTGTTTGTAAGTTACCTAATTTCGCATGTTTATCTTTGTTTTGAAGAGTTAGTGCACAAGTTGCTACTGGATCCTACCTGTTTAAAGGAAAGGTACACACATAATATTGTTCTCGGTGACTCATTTATGATTGTACACACACTATATTAGACTGGGAACATTTTTGTTGTATGACATACAAGTTGAATAATTATGTACGTCCACAATCACATGCCTTAGATATTTATTTTAATGTACTGTAAATGTATAACATTTTTACTCGCAATAAACACATTTAGGCCCAATTCAACCAAACTTTTTTCCGAGAATAACTCCTGGTATAACTGGCACATTGACGGTTTCAGTATGGGAAATATGTCAAAATGTCAAATAACTGACGATTTATTCTGAGATTAATATTTAATCTTGTTTGGTCTAATCCACCCTAAGTCACAAAGAAAGTTTGTCATAGTTGCTGAAACTTTTAACTTACACAAAGAATTAAAATGGCATTGATATTTATTTGCTGAAACAAATTGGCCTTTAGAACTTTAATATTCTTATTTAACATCCTTTCACATGTTTTGTTGACCTTTCTTGCAATATGATTATTCTAATTGGAAAAAGTATGAATTATAACAACAATTTTACCAGTGAAAGCTGAATACAAACCAAGAAGTAATTAAAACATTATGAAAATAAAGATAGTTTTTATTATTAAATGAGTATTTAAAAACTTATTCTCTGACTTTATGCATGTGCACAATTTTTTTTTCTGAATTTGATATGAATAAATTCTTATTTAGCCCTAAAATGAAAATATTTTCTGGCTCTACTATACAATTGTTTTCAACAAAACAAAAACTAAAAATAATACATTTATTCCAGATGTATTTTTGTAGGTTCTTAGTCTTACTTCTCCATCAGATTTATATTTAGAGCTAACTCTAGTAGGATATTATTTAATAAGTTTGTTTCAAAATAGACAATGTTTTTACAGGATGAGACAGTGGCGGCCCACCGTCGGACAGTCATAAATGAGTGGAAGCGAGAGATGGGCGCTCCGTTCATTGAAATGGTCGGATTTGAGAAAATACATCAAAAACAGTAAGTTGGCATGTCACAATCCATCCTACTTTGTACGTTTATCTTAAGTAATATTGTGAACTCCATCAGTTTATAATCGAACCTAATCTTACCCATTGTTATTTTTTAAACTGGCAGAGTCCACAATTTTTAATGTCACACACACTGAACATGAATGATATTTAGTGCAATCCGTGCTGAAAGGGTTATGCATTTTGTTTGATACATACTATATCAGCATACTAAAATGGTTCCAGTTTGACTAATTTATGTGGGTCTCATTTCAAAAACCATTCTCTCATTATGCTCTTCTAATAGAGAGAGAGTAAGGCCTTTACATCACCGGGACACCATGATGGTGATATGTATACAGCTCTATAGAGAGTTACTCACCTGGTGTCCGTTTGGTTGCGCAAAGCTGTTACATTTTGTTGGTAGCGGCGACTGGTTGCACCGCCATGGTGTCCCGGTGAAATATAGCCCTAAGGGCCCTCGCCCACGGCGACTTTTTGTAGCGATGCAGTCGCGTTGGCATCACTTCTGTAGTGCGTGCGCAAATGCGACTAACGCGAGTTAGTAGCGATACCCACGGCGACTTTTTGTCGCGCGTTTACGAAACGCAAAAAAAAGACGCCGTGGGCGAGGGCCCTAAGATCCATTGACTCGTTAGTAACATCAACTGGTGAGCGTAAATACGATACGCCTTATTGATAATATTTATTGTTCAAAGAGTCCATCAAGTTCAAATTCTCTTTGGCTAAGAACTCACGGCGCGATTTTCACCCGCGCCCGCGGCGGTTGTGGAATTGCGGTTTTATTTCAAAACTCACGGGAGCGGTTATTAGTACGGTTATTCTAAGAACTAACGGTGCGATATTAAATCGCGCCGCGCTCTCACTGGTACAGATTAGTCGCCTCCGGTCGGACCCGCATACAATCGCGCCCGCTGCGGGCGAAAAGTTGTGCATTAGTTTTTACATTTAAGTATCTGCATTCTACAGAAGCTGCGGACCCGCAACCGCCGCGGGCGCGGGTGAAAATCGCGCCATGAGTTCTTAGCCTTTGTATGTAAAAACTAGCGGCCGCCCGCGACTTCGTACGCGTGGATCCTGTTTTACCCCCTTCATCTATCTTACGCGGTTTAGATTTTTTCATACAAATGTTTTTTCCCGCTAACTCCCGTTCCCGTGGGAACTTTGCAATATCCTGTTGTAACTAAGCTTTAAGTTTACTAAGGTACCTGCATGCCAAATTTCAAGCGTCTAACTTAAGCGGTTTAGATTTTTCATACAAAAGGTTTTTCCCGCTAATTCCCGTTCCCGTGGGATACTCCTAAGTATACTATAACCTGCCCAGGAGTATGAAGAATATTTGTACCAAGTTTCGTTAAAATCCGTCGAGTAGTTTTTGTTTCTTTAAGGAACATACAGACAGACAGACAAAAATTTTACTGATTGCATTTTTGGCATCAGTATCGATCACTAATCACCCCCTGATAGTTATTTTAAAAATATATTTCATGTACAGAATTGATCTCTCTACAGATTTATTATAAGTATAGATCAAGTATGAATCTTGATCCATTTTTCAGAAAATTCGACCGCCTGCTCGAAGTCTGTGTGCACGATCAGAACGTGTGTAAAGCGGGTGACGTGGCTGCTCTATGCCCCAACGTGCGCAGTATAGACGTGTCGAGGAACCTGTTCTCCAGCTGGCGGGAGGTGATCCAGCTGTCCGCGCAGCTGCCGGACTTGCGGGAGCTGGACGTCAGGTCAGTGCTGGACAGGTCTAGTGTTTAACTTGACACAAGTCCTAAGGTACCCCCCAGGATTTTTTGGGGTTACCTATCGATTCGAAGATCGCACAATATCATGACGTGAGGTCAGTGCTGGATAGGTCTAGCGCTCAACTCAGTGCCTGAGGTATGGAAGCGGCACGGGAACGATGACATTGACATTATGACATGGCAAGGCATCTGAAGAACATTTGAAGTCTCGCTTAGCAAGCTGAAGTGGCAATGGGCAGGGCACATAGTACGCAGAACTGACGGCCGATGGGGCAGCCAGATTCTGGAGTGGAGGCAGCGTAGGACGTTCACCCACAGTGTGCACCGACTACCATAAAGGTAGCAGGAACGCGCCAACCGGCCATTGTGGAAATCATCAATTTAGGCCTATGTTCAGCAGTGGACGTCCTATGGCTGAAATGAAGATGACAAAAAATTTAAAAAAAAGCTCATTTACCTCTGGTGTCAGTGTGACGTGCAAATTTTAGGACACCCTGTATAATTTAGTATTTGTTTACCTTACAGCAAAAACCGCATGGCCATCGACATGCCAGAAGAGACTCTGATCCAGCAATCGTTCGCGTTCGCAAACCTGGAGAAACTTAACATCTCAGTCTGTGACTACGAGTGGTCGGACTTGCTAGCTCTCTCGCACCTCTGGCCGAACGTTCAAGAAGTCATCGCAGCTTATAATAGGATCAAAAGTATTACACCAGCAGGTAAGCACTTCTGATAGACTTACTTGGTTTAAGGTCCTCTTGCCCGTTTTCACCATCAATCCCTAATTTTTAAGTGACCCCTATGAAAACAAAATTCCTGTTATGTGATACCATAGGGGTCACTTCAAAATTAGGGATTGATGGTGAAAACGGGCATATGTCCCCTAGATGGGGCAGAGGGCGTCCACAACAGTCCTCCATCGCGTTCGGTCTTGAGCTTCGCGTTTGATCTCGCTGCCAATTTTCTTCGCCTCTTTTGATAGCAAACACTTTATTTGATGGGTATAGGTCGCTCAACAAAAGCTGAAGTGAACACCAACAACGCATTACAATTTCAAGTTCAAATATCGAATACACTAGCCACCTCGCTCTTGTTATATGTCTGCGAGCGAGATAGAAAGCACTTGTCAGTTCGATTACGCAAGACGTCTGTGTATACAAATACAAATCTTTAATAATAATAATAATAATAATAATAAGTCTCCATCCATAGCCCAGTAACCANAACATCTCAGTCTGCGACTACGAGTGGTCCGACTTGCTAGCTCTCTCGCACCTCTGGCCGAACGTTCAAGAAGTCATCGCAGCTTATAATAGGATCAAAAGTATTACGCCTGCAGGTAAGCACTGTCTCGGCTCTTTCAAAATTGGGATAAAACTGTCTTGTTTTCTAGAGTAGACCAATGATTCTCAACAAAGTAGTCCAGACGTGGACCTCTGCCCCTTCAGTTCCCGGGAGACAAATGAGGGCCCTCGAAGCAATTTATCTGGTTTTGGCAGAGGAGAACAACAAAAGTTGGCAAAGTTGATTTAAGGAGCCAATAAATTCCACAGTGGTTAAAGATTTATGAGAAGCTGTATTTAGGTTAAAAATGGTACTGAAACATCGAAAAAAGAGACATTTTGAAGCTTCTAAATTCTACCTAAACCTTACCTACCGAAACCAGTAAAATGTGTTCTACAAGAAATAAACTGAGGTATTGCTCACTGAGTTGTAGATCAGGTAAAATAATAACTAATTCAGTCGAATGCAACTTTGAAAATGGAGGACATTAAGGCCCGGTTTCCACCAAAGCAGAGAAGAAAGGAAATGTGTTTGAATAACCTTTGTTATTATTTTTGTGATTCCAGTAACAACCCTCCGTTCACTCACAATACTCCGCCTGGATGGTAACCCAATAGATTCGTGGTACGAAGTCATGAACCTGGGCAGACTAAAGAACCTACGAGTGCTGAGTCTCAACGACTGCCGCATACAGGAGATCAGGCTGAGCGACGACCCCGAAAACAAAGTGGACATATTTGAGAACTTGGAAACGCTGTTTTTGAATAGAAACATGATTAAAGATGTGAGTATACCTAATATTGTAAATATCACACTAAAGGCGAAAGTTTGTGAGTGTGTGTATTTGTGATTTTCTTTTCTTTAATATTTGGTATGGAGTTAGCTGACACCCTGGATTAACACTTAGGCTACATTTTATCGCGGGCAACATCGCAGGGCACAGCTAGTATGTTATATTATAGTGCATTAGCTGACCTGGCGAACTTCGTACCGTCTATGTTCATAAGAAATAATGTAAGATTCAAATGGAGGGAGGATTTTTCAAATCGGTCCAGTAGCTTCAAAGCCTATTCAATAAAACAACAGTCAAATCTTCCCTCTTTATAACATTAGTGTAGATAGATGGTGTTCCCAAAATTCTATGATTTTTATTTTTGTTACTTACTTTAATTACTGCCCCGGCTTTAGATAGTGATTCGTGTTTAAGAATCACTCTATCTATTGATGAAAACTGCATTAAAACCTTTCCGTAGTTTAAAAGATCTTAATATACAAACAACGGGATTGAGTTTGTTTCAAACTACATATTATGTAAAGAAGTAGGTACGGTTCAGGTTTCGCTGAAGGGACTATGGGAATGTGGCACTTTATGTGTATTTGGTGGTATTTTGTTACAAAATCATTGGCTGCGTTTAGACGAAAATAGTGCTTGTTAAAAATTGTTAGCAAAATGGCGATCGCCATGGCAACCGCCGAAACTTTAGCATGTTTTCGGCTAGGACACGTTTGCTAAACTTCAAAAGTGACGTTTCCCATACATTTTTTTGACAGTGACAGCACTTTCCGCTAAAAGGACACCATTTTACTTACTAGCGCAAGCTAGCGCTATTTTCTGCCAAACGCCAACATTATGTTTGATATTCTGACGACTAAAAAACTTCTTACTTTTAATTTAACAATATTTTGTAATTTTTCAGTGGCGATCAATAAGTGAACTGGACAAACTAAAAAAGCTGAAGAGACTATATTTCCTGAAGAACCCGATACAAAACACAGAGGACTACGACACCGGCTCACAACTGATTATAGCGAAAATTGGAACACTGCAGGTGAGTAATAAATGAATTATCCTTTGTGGTTGAGGATTCCAGGTGAAGTTCGCTTCCATCTTTGCCCTTTCTATCAAGTGAGATACAGGCCATGAGCTTCCCCGATGTGGATAAAAAAGTTATCTCAATTAGCATAATATTTAGATTAAAAGGATGGAGTGTGTTAAAATCGAATATACAGCACTCTGTATATTCGATCGACATTATTATCTGGATTTTAACACACTACACGTACTTGGGAAGAGTCCCAAATTAGTACGTCACCACTGACATCGCAGGTCGATACGCTTAGGGCACTTCGAACAACACTAAAATGTCCATAGAAAAGTTTCATGAGTTTTGAGATATGACTGATTTTAGTTATAAGTTAGTGTCTACTCATGGACATTGCCCGCGGGCGGCTTGACCGGAGGTAGCGGCGAGCGTTCGGCGAACGAACGAGCAATGTTCGGTTCGCGAGCGAACATCTAAGAAGACGATCCTGACGCACTCTCTTCAACGACTTTGCACTAAACGGTCTCAATATCATTGTTAATTTATACCGAATAGACAATTAATTGTATACAGTCCACTCTTTCATTTAATTAACTTCCACTACACTCACTATCGAAGTAACAGTTAGTAAGCCCTTAATACACGGATTCGAAGTATAAAATTACGTTGACGATACAAGGTTTATATTTCATCTTGGATTTGTAATGTTACAGGAACTGAACGGATCAACAATAACGCGTGAGCTGAGACGCGGCGCCGAATACGATTACATGAAGCGAGCCGGCGCCGATTGGAAGCGAGCACAACAAGACCCCGCATTAAAATTGGCCTTCCAACTGGAGCACTGTCGCTTCGAGCAACTTATCAACAGTGAGTCCCAAATGAAATGGTTCAGAGAAAATATCCGTTTTCCCAAAATGTATTTTTCGCAAAATGTCAGCTTCTCAAAATGTCAACTATTTAAATAGACAATTTGACACCATTCCCCAATAATTCGAAATCATCACACAACTTTTTCAAAGACACTTCATTCTGGTCTTAAAAACTAAATTAATTTTAAATCTATATATATAAAAATGAAACCCGTTTCGCGTTGTCACGGCATCACGTGTGAACGGCTGAACCGATTTCGATAATTCTTTTTTTTAAATGTTTGTAGAAGTCCAAGGATGGTTCTTACGGAAAAAAATATTAAGAAAATCTCTACGCTAAGGCGGTACGAAGTTCGCCGGGTCAGCTAGTTACATATAAATTAGGATTTTTGATTGCACTGCAATTGAAAAAAGTAGTTTAATTGAGTTGATAAAATAGTGATGTCACTTGCTTGTATTGCCATACAAAATCTATGGGTCTCATTTGACAGTTTTAAAAAGTACGTCAATTGATTGGTGGTATAGATGACCCACGCTGAACTGTCCCACCAAACTCAATGACAGGGGGGCGCTACCATCGTTCAACTATATGGTTTCCAACATGGCAAAAATCAGAACCAGCGATCCGGTATTGACGGTGGCGCCCCACTGTCAATGTCATGCATAGGACAGTTCAGTATTTTGGAACTATATCAACACGTCTATTGTGTGTCTCCAAGAAAGTCAGTTTATGTACAATGTTCGCTATTCAGAAAGTGCTTATTCTAAACATTCCAACATGAACAGAAGACCTTCTAAGACTGCACACATTTTAAATTGAAGACATTTCATTAAGGCCCAGAACACACATGACGCGACCAGTTTGAAACCGGTTTGAAATGGTCGCGTCATGTGTGGTCTCTCAACGGAATCTATGGCAGAAACTTAGATGCAACTCAAAAGTAACTAGAAGTTGCAATTGCGTTTCACCGTGTGTTCTGGGCCTAAAGCTGACAAAATAATAATGCAAACATGATGAGTACGTAGCCACTAAAATAACCTTTTCTTCAACAGAATACGGCATTCCAGAAGACAGCTTGCTAGTAAAACAGACGAAAACAAGCACACTCACATCTCAACTGCTAGAAATTACACTCCGCGACGACACCGGCAAATCATTCAAGAAAAAATTCCCCGCAACGATGGCAGTGCAGAAACTGGTAACACTGGCGCAAAGACTGTTCTCCAAATCTGGCAACACTGGAACGAAACTCTATCTACTCGATGATCAAATGAACGGCGCCGAAATACATCTTGATAATGTTATGAAGGATTTAGCGTATTTCTCGATTAAAAATGGCGACATTATTGTTGTAAGATTCAGATAAAAATTTTTTTCTTCTGGCAAGGTACGGAAGGTGTTAGGTTTGGGTTATAGATATGCTTTTGGCACAGATTCTAATGTCTACGACAAACTACGTAGCGTAGCTTATTAAAATTTTACAATTTACGCTTATAATGAAAGAAATATTTATTGTCTATGACTAAAAAAAACAACACGCAAGTTTTTAATTGTGTAAAATGCCGAAAATCATAAAAATATTAATATTACTTTGTCTGTGCAACATCCATTGTAGGCAACGTTTAAAAAAAATTGCCTACCAAAATGAGAGTGCGTTACGTTACGTTCGAATTTGAGTCGTTAGAAATCTACAAATTCAATAGATAAAAACAAGTATGATTTTTGAGTACTATGAAATATTTTTTTAGTTAATTGAGGCGAAAGCAAATCTATAATTTAGATCAGTATTATTATATTTAATTGGCGCGTTCCTCTTACATTTGTCACTTACTGAGCTTTGTAAATAATGTTACGTCAAAATTGTACCTGTATTTATTGCGGATATTGTTTCCAGAAATAAAATGTCCAATATGTATTTTTATTTGTTCGTTTCATTTTCTATTTAGCATAAAAAAAAAATTCTGAGAACAGTAACTTTATTAAAATCGGTTTAGTAATTTTTCACTATTTTGAGGGTGGAGTCTTCTCTATTGATCGTCGAAATAGAAAAAAAAAGTTACTGTTACAGAACCGAATGTAACGGAATTTTCTTTATTTCTGATCTTTAGTATTCCCTCAGGAATACAACTATTTTATCAACCAATTAATAAAGTATGCATCAAAGAGTTACAAGGGCAAATTGCTGTTTACTTACATACATTGTAAAGAAAACCACCTGTAACCTTGAATCGATGTCATTGCTTGTACTTGAATTGAAATCTATTCAAATATAAAATATACTTACGTGAATTAGATGTATCTTTTTGATTATTTCAATAAATTATTCATAGTGCACGCACGCACAAAACTGAAATGTGAGAATAAAGATTGAAGTGTCTAATTTGACCGGAAGTATTAATTTTTTAAAAGTAAATTGGCGGTAAAACGTAAAGTGTCAAAAAAGTTCCGTTTGCGAATTTAAAAAGTACACCGCGCGCATCGAGAACGGACTGTTTTAGCACTGGCCACATTCCCCCATCGCCATTGGAAACCGTTGTGTCAACAAAACTTTTTTGTTTACGAATGTCGTGTGTCGAGAAATTCAAAGTCAATTTGAATTTGCCATGTGAAAAGTGTGAGGAACTTGGAAAATATCGTGTGTTTTATTAATTGTGATGGGTAATTGTATGGCGAGCGTTTTTCGGCGGCGGCGTGTTCGCCGTCATATAGTTTTGATTTTGATCGGCCTGGACAACGCTGGGAAGACGAAGACTGTAAATAACCTGGCCGGCGAGAGAGACGACAAGGTTCTGCCCACAGTGGGCTTTAAGGCTGTGAATTTAATACATAAAGATACACCTGTGACTATATACGACCTTGGGGGAGGGCCACATTTTCGCCAGATATGGTCTCAGTACTACAGCGAGGTACATGGTGTGATATTTGTTATCGACTCGAGCGATTTTTCACGGTTGGACGAATGCAGAGTTGTGTTGGAAGAGGTTTTATCGCACGACAAAATATCAGGTGAAGTATATTACATATTTATCGTCATAGTAACGTTTTGCAATATCAATTTAATTATAAAGTTATCTGGACTGATAACCTTTGGAATATACTAGTTAAATTCGTATTTACCTATACGCTATTGAATGTTGTAGTTTTTCTGATATCATTCATAATGTTGATCTACCCTCATTTTTTAGAAATACCCAATAACAATATAATTTATTTTATTATTTTCTACGGTATAGAAAACAAACGTGTTTTTGTATCCGTTGCAAAAGAAACCTTATGTGAATTGAACAAAGTTGATCTGTCTTTAAAACTACTCGCTTTAAAAATCGCCGATTGTCAATGCAAAAGGGACCCTGTACAATATTCACAAAGACGACTTTGTTTTCAATAGATTGCGGGGGTATATCGTTCAAAGGGCACGCGTGTAATCTCCCCATAAATTTAAAGACCTCCAAAAAACGTTACTTTCTTACAACAATTTAAGATGACGCTATTAAGATATGTACATACCTAATTATTTTTAGTATCAAGGATATTCATAACACAACATTGTAGATGTAATTATGTTCTCACTTGGTTGGTGCGTTTTACGAAACTATGCCTACTTAGTCAAAAATATAAACATACAAAAAAAGTCTTATTTTTAGCCTGACGGCCCACAAGCCACGTTTTACAAAATTACGTCTAAAATGCAATTTTAACTCAAGCATTATTTCATTCATGAACGTTTCTAAAAGACCATTGTTGGACCGAAGTTTCGTAGCAGACTTATCTAACCTGGAAACGGATCGCAACCGTTTCAACTCGATACGGTCAGTATTGTTTGTATGAAACTCCGTACTGCAACGCACTTATCCGCACCGTAACGTAAACGCCTCGCCTAGCCTCGCGGCGAAAGGCGATACGGTGCTGATCTCTTTCCGGGTTGATAAGTGTGCTTTGACCTTTAGGGTGGATTCGACCAAACAAGAGTAAATATTAAACTCAGAATAAATCGTCAGTTATTCGACATTTTGACATATTTTCCACTAGCTTTCCGCCCGCGGCTTCGCCCGCGTGGAATTTTGTCTGTCACAGAAAACTTTATCGCGCGCGTCCCTGTTTCAAAAACCGGGATAAAAACTATCCTATGTCCTTTCCCGGGAGTCTCAAACTATCTCTGTGCCAAATTTAATCAAAATCGGTTCAGTGATTTAGGCGTGAAAGCAAGACAAACAGACAGACAGAGTTACTTTCGCATTTATACCTAATATTAGCATAGATACTGAAACTGTCAATCCAGTTATACCAGGAGTTATTCTCGGATAAAAGTTTGGTCGAATCGGGCCTTAATCGCAATTCGACGACCGTTTGAAGTAGGTCCCGGGTTCGATTCCACATTTAACAACATTGATTCTCATAGGTAAACCGGTTCTGGTGCTTGCGAACAAACAGGACAAGACTGGAGCTCTAGACGACATAGATGTGGTCGAAAAACTCAACATTGAACCTTTGGTGAACAAGTAAGCCTTTACCTTTATTGTAGGTTTGATCACCTGGATTTGACGGACTATTGGACATTTTGATGTCACCCATGGATAAGAAGTCCACTTTAATCACCTAGGTCAGGGGTGGCCAACCGGTCGATCGCGAACCGGTCCAGTCGATCGTGGCAAAGCAAAAAATACTACATGATTGTGTACTAAACTAAGCTGTTTTTTCATTTAAGATTTCAAGAAGTATGTAAGTGGTAGATCACCCTGGGTTTCGTTAGTAAACAGTAGATCTTATGTCTAATCAAGTTGGTCACCCCTGACCTAGGTGATCTTATCTAATGGGTGATCAAAGGAAGTTTCATTGAGTCCACTTTACAAATACATTTTTTTTTATTTACTACAAGTATACCTTTAGAGTGGTGGGTGTTCTCCTTTTAAGTAATTTTACTTGTGTTAGGAGAAACTTTGGTCACCTGGGTGATTAAATCCAGGTGATCAATCAAAGTGGAATAAAACTTATGTGTAGTTTAATTTGTCATTGCATTTAGCAGTAAATGGTTGCAGTCTCGCTTGTTGTAAAATGGAAAATGTTTACTAATTTGTATTTATTACATTTTAAATAAATACCTGATTTTAGATACCGCTGCCCAACCCTCGTGGAATCCTACAGCGCACAGACCCTAGAACAGTCCAAAAAAGCCAAAATTGACCCCGGACTCCGCAAGGGCTACCAATGGCTCCTAAACTACATCATACGGCGTTACGGCGACATAAACTTACGAGTGCAAACCGACATACACGCTGACTTAGAGCGCCGTAAGCGAATGATGACCAAAGCCTCCAATAGAGCCTCCCAGACCTTCACGGCAGTCAGTGATGACATAGCAACGCAAACGGGCTTCGAAAACCCGAATTTCGATCCCAAATCGCCGGACATAGACAATATAGAGCGAGAGAAAGATCTGGAACGCGGTGTTATTATAGTAAAGCCTATAACGAACAGCGTGGATACTACTATGACTATAGAAAGCATGGATTCTGATAATACTAGTGCCAAGCCGAAGCTGTCGCCTTTGTTTGGACGAGCCAGTAATAGCACGGTTGAGACGGTAAGGATAGAATTGGAGTCGAGGAATGAGTATAGGAAGCTCTCTCCGATAGTGAGGAAGAAGTCTGGGAACCAACACATTGATTTTATGAACAGACCGCAGTCCAGCCCCACTTTTAAGAAGAATTCTAATAAGGTACGTTATAATATGCAAATCAACGTTCTATCAATCGTGTCAGTTACGTAAATCATATTTTTTCTATAATTATGCTTTGGAAAATACCCAGTCCGAAAATTTCCGAATTTTCTTTTGTATTTTAAATAGACCGTAATTTTATTTAAACCTACCACTGCTTTGGGACTAAAATAATGAAACTCGGTCACCATCGTCAGCCTCTTTCAAAGGTTTATAATATTGACCTATTTCTGTGACCTCAACAGTTATAAAATTCCACACATAGAATGAATAGCCCTTTACTCGTTTTATTAAAGTTGCCGTACAATCATGTTTATAATTACTTTTTTACTTCCATAATTTCATGTAGGGCTCTTTCCATTGGAGACGTGTTTTAATTTCATTCTATATTAGGATCCCATTTGCAAACCTATCCGTTCGTATTTGGGTTTCGTATCTCAAACGCACACTTCTGTGTTCACACGACAGTCCAGTTTTGCGGAAATCTGCATTAAACGACCCTGCAAAACTGTATTGCCGTGAGAAAAGGCCCTTAGCCTAGGCGCCCCAAGTAACATTTTACTCCATTTAAGAGTTCAATAGTCGTTCACATGTACTCCACAAGCTGTGTATGTCAGCTGTATACGAGCTGTATAGCTTGCTATAATGCTTTTATAGAACCAGTTTGGGCACAAATTAGACAGCTTTAAGTTCACTATGGCTGTACATTAGCAGTATAATAGCATTATAATAGCAGTTTAAGTAGTAACATCGTACTTAAGGCTGACTTACGGCACTATATGGGACGCAGTGTGAACCATACAACGTACGTGAGGACAATAAAGAGTAACAAGTGGCTAAATGCACAGCTTTCAAAGTTATAAAGTCCGACAAAAGTACTCCAATGCTACCTAAAGTTCACGTGTGTCTTAAATTATTTCCACATTTTAATATTAGTTTGGTATTTGTACTGGAGCGGAGGCAGCTGAAGCGCACCATTAAGAATTATTAAGGGGAGGCTGAGTTTGCGATGTGAGTACTGGTGGTTCCAGGGTTCTAGGATGGAGAAGCTCCCCTGGAATGGAGACAGGGAATGCTGCTTGCTGGTCAACAGTAGAACTGCTGGACAATGAGCTTGCGATGTGAGTACTGATGGGTCTAGGGTTCTAGGGTGGAGAATGAGTCGTCCCAAGTACTGTCTGGAGCGGAGGCAGCTGAAGCGCACCATATAAAGAGGAGAATTCTAGGTAATAAAGTGGAGACTGAGCCCCCCCTGGAATGGAGACTGCTGGAGATATCCGCGCTGCATGAGCGGAGACGGAGCTTGAGATGTGGGTATTGGCAGTATTGGTTCAAGAGTTCTAGGGTCCCGACTGCAGGCAGCTAAAGATATCCGCGCAGCATAAGAGAAGACTGACCTTGAGATGTGAGTATCGACGAGAACTGAGAAAAAAATCTTTAGGAGTAGGTTGGAGAATGAGCCTTCCTGGAATGGAGGCAGCTGAAAATATCCGCGCAGCATAAGACGAGACTGAACTTGATATGTATTGTGTGTGAGTAAGGACAAGAACTGATGGTTCAAGGGTTCTAGGGTAGAGAATCAGTCTTCCCAAGTCCCGACTGGAGCGGAGACTGATCTAGAGCTGTGAGTATCGACGTAGGATTCAAGACAGATGGGTTTAAACGAGCGTTGTCAAGAACTGAAGACAGATGGGATAGAAGGAGTATTGTAAAGATGACAGATGGGGTCGAAAGAAGTTCCCGTCCTCCGCAGACTACACCAGCAAGATTGCCAAGAACTGATGGCTCAAGAGTTATGGTTTAAAGAATGAGTCTTCCCAAGTACCTACTGGAGCGGGACTGAGCTTGAGATGTGAGTATTGACGCAGGATTTATGACAGATGGGTTTAATGAGCGTTGTCAAGAACTGAAGACAGATGGGGTAGAAAGAGTATTCAAGATGCAATATGGGGCCCGACTGCCGCAGACTACACCAGCAAGATTGCCAAGAACTGATGGCTCAAGAGTTATGGTTTGAAGAATGAGTCTTCCCAAGTACCTACTGGAGCGGAATCTGAGCTTGAGATGTGAGTATTGACGCAGGATTTATGACAGATGGGTTTGAACGAGTGTTGTCAAGAAGTGAAGATAAATGGAATAGAAGGAGTATTGTCAAGATGACAGATGGGGTCGAAAGAAGTTCCCCTGTCGAGACTCAATAAGCGATGCTATGGTGTAGTCTGCTATGGGGCCGAAGGACGTATCTCGTAGACTATACCAGCAAGACCGCCTCTTCAGAGGTGGTGCTGCCCGCGTCCACGCTGCCGCTGAGCGCGCGGCCCGCGTCGGCGTCGCAGCTGGTGCGGCGCCAGCTGGAGCTCTCCGCGCAGCACAAGCGCCGGCTGAGCTTGCGATGTGAGTACTGATGGTACTAGGGTTCTAGGGTGGACGGGAGAATGAGTCTTCAGAAGTCACGACTGGAGCGGAGGCAGCTGAAGCGCACCATTAAGAATTATTAAGGGGAGGCTGAGTTTGCGATGTGAGTACTGGTGGTTCCAGGGTTCTAGGATGGAGAAGCTCCCCTGGAATGGAGACAGGGAATGCTGCTTGCTGGTCAACAGTAGAACTGCTGGACAATGAGCTTGCGATGTGAGTACTGATGGGTCTAGGGTTCTAGGGTGGAGAATGAGTCGTCCCAAGTACTGTCTGGAGCGGAGGCAGCTGAAGCGCACCATATAAAGAGGAGAATTCTAGGTAATAAAGTGGAGACTGAGCCCCCCCTGGAATGGAGACTGCTGGAGATATCCGCGCTGCATGAGCGGAGACGGAGCTTGAGATGTGGGTATTGGCAGTATTGGTTCAAGAGTTCTAGGGTCCCGACTGCAGGCAGCTAAAGATATCCGCGCAGCATAAGAGAAGACTGACCTTGAGATGTGAGTATCGACGAGAACTGAGAAAAAAATCTTTAGGAGTAGGTTGGAGAATGAGCCTTCCTGGAATGGAGGCAGCTGAAAATATCCGCGCAGCATAAGACGAGACTGAACTTGATATGTATTGTGTGTGAGTAAGGACAAGAACTGATGGTTCAAGGGTTCTAGGGTAGAGAATCAGTCTTCCCAAGTCCCGACTGGAGCGGAGACTGATCTAGAGCTGTGAGTATCGACGTAGGATTCAAGACAGATGGGTTTAAACGAGCGTTGTCAAGAACTGAAGACAGATGGGATAGAAGGAGTATTGTAAAGATGACAGATGGGGTCGAAAGAAGTTCCCGTCCTCCGCAGACTACACCAGCAAGATTGCCAAGAACTGATGGCTCAAGAGTTATGGTTTAAAGAATGAGTCTTCCCAAGTACCTACTGGAGCGGGACTGAGCTTGAGATGTGAGTATTGACGCAGGATTTATGACAGATGGGTTTAATGAGCGTTGTCAAGAACTGAAGACAGATGGGGTAGAAAGAGTATTCAAGATGCAATATGGGGNGCAAATTTGGGGCGGCGGTGTGGATTCGGCAGCACCTGGGATGACAGAGCAGCCCTATTTAGGGATGCACTGCTCTCCCTGCTCAGCCAGGGAGGGGGCTAGAAAAGGTACCCTAAAAAACGTCCGTCCCTACCTGGAAGGTGGTAGTAACCGCGGCTACCATCGCATCATATGAACACGTGGTCNAATAATAATTTATTCATCAAAATAAGAACATTATAAGAACTTATTATGCTAGAGTTTACATATATTTCAATAGTATTTTGATCATATAATGGCCTCAACTCGCGTTGAGCGACCTATAAACTCAACATCTCAGTCTGCGACTACAAGTGGTCGGACTTGCTAGCTCTCTCGCACCTCTGGCCGAACGTTCAAGAAATTATCGCAGCGTATAATAGGATCAAAAGTATTACACCAGCAGGTAAGCACTGTCTCGGCTCTTTCAATATTGGGATAAAACTGTCTTGTTTTCTAGAGTTAGACCAATGATTCTCAACAAAGTAGTCCAGACGTGGACCTCTGCCCCTTCAGTTCCCGGGAGACAAATGAGGGTCCTCGAAGCAATTTATCTGGTTTTGGCAGAGGAGAACAACAAAAGTTGGCAAAGTTGATTTAAGGAGCCAATAAATTCCACAGTGGTTAAAGATTTATGACAAGCTGTATTTAGGTTAAAAATGGTGCTGAAACTTCGAATAAATTAGACATTTTGAAACTTCAAAATTCTACCTTAACCTTACCTAGCAAAACCAGTAAAATTGTGTTCTATAAGAAAAAAACTTTTATTAAATAAACTGAGTTGTAGACCAGATAAAAAAACTCATTCAGTCGAATGCAACTTTGAAAATGGAGGACATTAAGGCCCGGTTTCCACCAAAGCAGAGAAGAAAGGAAATGTGTTTGAATAACCTTTGTTATTATTTTTGTGATTCCAGTAACAACTCTCCGTTCACTCACAATACTCCGCCTGGATGGTAACCCAATAGATTCGTGGTACGAAGTCATGAACCTAGGCAGACTGAAGAACCTACGAGTGCTGAGTCTCAACGACTGCCGCATACAGGAGATCAGGCTGAGCGACGACCCGGAAAACAAAGTGGACATATTTGAGAACTTGGAAACGCTGTTTTTGAATAGAAACATGATTAAAGATGTGAGTATACTGAAGTCCGTTTAGGCGCGATTGGTCCAATTCGCGATTGGGCCAATTCGCTATTAGACCAATTCGCTATTGGTCCAATTCGTAATTGGTCCAAAATAAAAGGAAATCTATAATAAAAATTAAGGAGGTTAATCAACTTTCAACTTTTACTACTATATGCAGAAAAAAGCGAATTGGCCCAATCGCGAATTGGACTAATCGCGAATTTGTAAATTTTTCACGATTGGACCAATTGCTAATTGGACCAATCGCGCCTAAACGTACTGACTGAAGATAACGATGATATTACGTCGCACTATCCGTACGTCGTACTAAAGAAGTAATTCTTTACGTTATTTCTCAACAAATCAACCAACCAAATAAAAAATATGCGTCGCTAAAAGCGGTCTGTCGTTATAAGCCGTTCTAAACTGATTCTACTGTATTGTAGTGATAGCTGACCCGGCGAATTTCGTACCGCTTATCTTCATCAGACATAATGTAGGTTTCTAAAGAACGGATTTTTTTTTTAAATCAGACCAGTAGCTTCAAAACCTATTCAATATAAACAACAGTCAAATCTTCCCTCTTTATAATATTACGCCCGTTTTCACAAACGAAGCAGCAAATCGAATGCACAGCGTTGAATAGAGCTCTGTGATTGGTTCGTGTGTCACCCTGTGCGTCCACACGCACTGTGAGACCTCATCGTAATGTTTGTGAATACGGGCGTATGTGTATTTGGTGAGATTTTATTACAAAATAATTAAGATTGATATTCTGACGACTAAAAAACTTTTACTTTTCATTTAACAATATTTTGTTATTTTTTCAGTGGCGATCAATAAGTGAACTGGACAAACTAAAAAAGCTGAAGAGACTATATTTCCTGAAGAACCCGATACAAAACACAGAAGACTACGACACCGGCTCACAACTGATTATAGCGAAAATTGGAACACTGCAGGTGAGATTGAGACTGAGTTGTATACTAAAGCCTGGTCCGTGAGCACGTAGAATTTTGTCCAATGACCCCAAGCTGCCCATCCTTATCGCTCGCGCGTAATTATGTTGCTGTCGCGACTGTGCGACGGGCGCCCGCAGTGAGTGTGCGAGCGCGACAGCAACATAATTACGCGCGAGCGACAAGGATGGGTAGCTTGGAGTCATTGGACAAAATTCTACGTGCTCACGGACCAGGCTTTACTAAAGGAGAACTTAACTTCGAACTCCTCCTATGTTCTTCTGATTAATTTCGTTGCGGGTCCAATGACAGTTTAACTTTTCCCCGGGACAAACTTGACCTTCACTGGCTGGGTTTTTATTGGCGGTCAAGCTGTAGGTCCTGGCTACACAGGAGTTGCAGTGGTGGGAAAGAGAGGTGGGAATAGTCCCGTACTAAAGGAGAAGTTGCAACTTACATACAAAACACTATTTGACACCATTCCCCAATAATTCGAAATCACAACTTTTTTAAATATACTTCATTCTGGTCTTAAAAACTTAATTAATTTTAAATTACCTATAAATTAAAATTTTTGGTTGGATTGTAATTGAAAAGAGTAGTTTGAGTTGACAAAATTGAGACGTCACTTGCTTGTATTGCCATACAAAATCTATGGGAGTCTCGTTTTGACAGTTTCTCATTCGATTATTTCTAAACTATACAAGTTATCGAAAAACTAGTTACTGATCCTGAAAGTGCTTTACGAGGTCTATCCAACGATACCAAAATAGGTTACAGAATTAACTGGATCTATCCGAAAATTAAATGTTTTCAGCTCCAATGTTTAATTTAACAAATTCGGTGCTCACTAAGACGGGATTTAGCAAAATTCAACCCCTAAAGGTAACCTTTCGAACTAAGCGTCACACGCGCAGCGTCTTTAGCTTTGGTCTTGTGCCACCAACGCCGCGTCACTAACTCGCTTCGAAAGGCTACCTTTAAGATCAAGGCTAAAGACGCTAAAGGGGTAATAAATAAATATGTGTGTTAATAAAGATTTATTTTTGAATATTGCAGGAACTGAACGGATCAACAATAACGCGTGAGCTGAGACGCGGCGCCGAATACGATTACATGAAGCGAGCCGGCGCCGATTGGAAGCAAGCACAGAACGACCCTGCATTAAAATTGGCCTTCCAACTGGAGCACTGTCGCTTCGAGCAGCTTATCAACAGTAAGTCCCAAATCAAAATCAAAAATATTAATTCAGTTTAGACCACAAGTGGCACTTATGAACGTCAAAATATATTTTTAAAAAAGGTAGCCCTTATGGGGCACTTTACATGTCTCCTTATCTTTTGGGCCCTACCAGCGCTTCGAGTCAAACATATGGCAAGTGCTGAAAAGAAACGCCGGAACAAATGAAATGGCTCAAACCTGAAATACAGTAGAATCTCGATTATCCGGACACATTCTTCAAGGTTTCTAATTACCGATTTAGGATCTGGACCCATAAAAACGGAAGACGCCGCCACCGTAACACGGTACGGACTTCGTCTAAGTTCATTGTTAAAAGAAATTAATTCATACCATGGTCTCTAAAATTTAGATTTTAGACTCTAAATGTATTGAAATCCCTTTCTATTGTAAACAGTTAATTATTGTTTGATTTTACTTTGAAATCGATTATCCGGAACACCCCTGGTTTTAATTGATCCGGATAATCTTTATTCTACTGTATCCGTTTTCCTAAAATGTATTTTTCGCAAAATGTCTGCTATTGAGAATGTGAGCACGTCTTTTGCATAATGTCAGCTTCTCAAAATGTCAACTATAGATGACCCACGCTGAACTGTCCCACCAAACTCAATGACAGGGGGGCGCTACCATCGTTCAACTATTATGGTTTCCGACATGGCAAAAATCTGAACCAGCGATCCGGTATTGACGGTGGCGCCCCACTGTCAATGTCATCGACAGGACAGTCCAGTATTTTGGAACTATATTTAAATTGTGTGTCTCCAAGAATGTCAGTTTTTGTACAATGTTCGCTATTCAGAAAGTGCTTATTCTAAACATTCAAACATGAACAGAAGACCTTCTAAAACTGCACACATTTTAAATTGAAGACATTTCATTAAGGCCCAGAACACACGGTGAAACGCAATTGCAACGAAACTGCCAAATGCCTGCTAAGTTTCTGCCATAGATTCCGTTGAGAGACCACACATGACGCGACCAGTTTGAAACCGGTTTGAAATGGTCGCGTCATGTGTGGCCTCTCAACGGAATCTATGGCAGAAACTAAGATGCAACTCAAAAGTAACTAGAAGTTGCAATTGCGTTTCACCGTGTGTTCTGGGCTTAAAGCTGACAAAATAGGAATGCAAACATGGTGAGTACGTAGCCACTAAAATAAACCTTTTCTTCAACAGAATACGGCATTCCAGAAGACAGCTTGCTAGTAAAACAGACGAAAACAAGCACACTCACATCTCAACTGCTAGAAATTACACTCCGCGACGACACCGGCAAATCATTCAAGAAGAAATTCCCCGCGACCATGGCAGTGCAGAAACTGGTAACACTGGCGCAAAGACTGTTCTCCAAATCTGGCAACACTGGAACGAAACTCTATCTACTCGATGATCAAATGAACGGCGCCGAAATACATCTTGATAATGTTATGAAGGATCTAGCGTATTTCTCGATTAAAAATGGCGACATCATTGTTGTGAGGTTCAGATAAATTATTTTTTTCTTCTGGCAAGGTACGGAAGGTGTTAGGTTTGGGTTATAGATATGCTTTTGGCACAGATTCTATGACTAAAAAAAAACAACACGCAAGTTTTTAATTGTGTAAAATGCCGAAAATCATAAAAAATATTGATATTACTTTGTCTGTGCAACATCCATTGTAGGCAACGTTTTAAAAAAATGCCTACCAAAAATGGGAGTACTTAACATATTATTTACGTTCAAATAATAATAATATGTTAAAAATCTACATGAATAGGCAAGTATGATTTTTGAGTACTATGAAATATTTTTTTAGTTAATTGAGGCGAAAGCAAATCTATAATTTAGATCAGTATTATTATATTTAATTGGCGCGTTCCTCTTACATTTGTCACTTACTGAGCTTTGTAAATAATGTTACGTCAAAATTGTACCTGTATTTATTGCGGATATTGTTTCCAGAAATAAAATGTCCAATATGTATTTTTATTTGTTCGTTTCATTTTCTATTTAGTATAAAAAAAAATTCTGAGAACAGTAACTTTATTAAAATCGGTTTAGTAATTTTTCACTATTTTAAGGGTGGAGTCTTCTCTATTGATCGTCGAAATAGAAAAAAAAAGTTACTGTTACAGAACCGAATGTAACGGAATTTTCTTTATTTCTGATCTTTAGTATTCCCTCAAGAATACAACTATTTTATCAACCAATTAATAAAGTATGCATCAAAGAGTTACAAGGCAAATCGCTGTTTACTTACATTGTAAAGAAAACCACCTGTAACCTTGAATCGATGTCATTGCTTGTACTTGAATTGAAATCTATTCAAATATAAAATATGGCTTACGTGGATTAGATAGCTTTTTGATTAATTCAATAAATATTACGTTTACAGTGCACGCACAAAAAAATTTTTAGTGTGAGAGAGATATAAAGAGTCTAATTTGACCGGAAGTATTGATTTTTTAAAAGTAAATTGGCGGTAAAACGTAAAGTGTCAAAAAAGTTTGGTTTGCGAATTTAAAAAGTACACCGCGCGCATCGAAAACGGACTGTTTTAGCACTGGCCACATCGCCTCCATCTGTGGCCCCCATCGCCATTGGAAACCGTTGTGTCAACAAAACTTTTTTGTTTACGAATGTCGTGTGTCGAGAAATTCAAAGTCAATTTGAATTTGCCATGTGAAAAGTGTGAGGAACTTGGAAAATATCGTGTGCTTTATTAATTTGTGATGGGTAATTGTATGGCGAGCGTTTTTCGGCGGCGGCGTGTTCGCCGTCATATAGTTTTGATTTTGATCGGCCTGGACAACGCTGGGAAGACGAAGACTGTGAATAATCTGGCCGGCGAGAGAGACGACAAGGTTCTGCCCACAGTGGGCTTTAAGGCTGTGAATTTAATACATAAAGATACACCTGTGACTATATACGACCTTGGGGGAGGGCCACATTTTCGCCAGATATGGTCTCAGTACTACAGCGAGGTACATGGTGTGATATTTGTTATCGACTCGAGCGATTTTTCACGGTTGGACGAATGCAGAGTTGTGTTGGAAGAGGTTTTATCGCACGACAAAATATCAGGTGAAGTATATTACATATTTATCGTCATAGTAACGTTTTGCAATATCAATTTAATTATAAAGTTATCTGGACTGATAACCTTTTGAATACGTGTACTAGTTAAATTATTATTTACCTACACGCTACTGTATATTGTAGTTTTTCTGATATCAGGTGATAATGTCGTTCTACCCTCGTATTTTTTTAATAACAATATAATTTATTTATTATTTTCTACGGTATAGAAAACAAACGTGTTTTTGTATCCGTTGCAAAAGACACCTTAAGTAAATTGAACAAAGTTGATCTGTCTTTAAAACTACTCGCTTTAAAAATCGCCGATTGTCAATGCAAAAGGGACCCTGTACAATATTCACAAAGACGACTTTGTTTTCAATAGATTGCGGGGGTATATCGTTCAAAGGGCACGCGTGTAATCTCCCCATAAATTTAAAGACCTTCAAAAAACGTTTCTTTCTTACAACAATTTAAGATGACGCTATTAAGATATGTACATACCTAATTATTTTTAGTATCAAGGATATTCATAACACAACATTGTAGATGTAATTATGTTCTCACTTGGTTGGTGCGTTTTACGAAACTATGCCTACTTAGTCAAAAATATAAACATACAAAAAAAGTCTTATTTTTAGCCTGACGGCCCACAAGCCACGTTTTACAAAATTACGTCTAAAATGCAATTTTAACTCAAGCATTATTTCATTCATGAACGTTTCTAAAAGACCATTGTTCGACCGAAGTTTCGTAGCAGACTTATCTACCCGGAAACGGATCGTAACTGTATCAACTCAAGGCGATCAGAGCCCCGATTACGGTAATTTTTAACGTCAACAATCCAGACACGCTTCTCGATTTTGCGATACGATTGGTCGTTCAACCGCGTACGTCAGCTGTTTTGACCAATCGTATTGCAGAATCAGAAACGCGTCTGGATTGTAGACGTTAAAAGTTACCGTAATCGGGGCTCAGTATTCTTTGTATGAAACTCCGTACGCAACGCACACTTATCCGCACCGTAACGTAAACGCCTCGCCTAGCCTCGCGGCGAAATGCGATACGGTGTTGATCCCTTTCCGGGTTGAAAAGTGTGCTATGACCTTTAGGGTGGATTCGACCAAACAAGAGTCAATATTAATCTCAGAATAAATCGTCAGTTATTCGACATTTTGACATATTTCCCACTAGCTTTCCGCCCGCGGATTCGCCCGCGTGGAATTTTGTGTCACAGAAAACTTTACGCGCGCGTCCCTGTTTCAAAAACCGGGATAAAAACTATCCTATGTCCTATCTCCAAATTTCATCAAAATCGGTTCAGTGGTTTAGGCGTGAAAGCAAGACAGACAGACAAAGTTACATTCGCATTTATAATATTAGCATAGATACTGAAACTGTCAATCCAGTTATACCAGGAGTTATTCTCGGATAAAAGTTTGGTCGAATCGGGCCTTAATCGCAATTCGACGACCGTTTGACGTAGGTCGCGGGTTCGATTCCACATTTAACAACATTTATTCCCATAGGTAAACCAGTTCTGGTGCTGGCCAACAAACAGGACAAGACTGGAGCCCTAGACGACATAGATGTGGTCGAAAAACTCAACATTGAACCTTTGGTGAACAAGTAAGCCTTTACCTCTATTGTAGGTATATTCCACTTTGATCACCTGGATTTGATCACCCAGATGGACTACAAACGACATTTTGAAAGAAAAATAGAAAGATAAAATATTTATTTGGTACTTTTGGTGTCACCCATGGATAAGAAGTCCAATTTAATCACCCACGTGATCTTTGATGGGTGATCAAAGGACACTAAAGTTGCATTGAGCCCACTTCGATCACCTGGGTGATTAAATCCAGGTGATCAATCAAATAGGAATAAAACTTATGTGTAGTTTAGTTTGTCATTGCATTTAGCAGTAAATGGTTGCAGTCTCGCTTGCTGTAAAATGGTAAATGTAAATTTGTATTTATTATACCATCAGAATTCTCAAGCCAATAACTGATTTTAGATACCGCTGCCCAACCCTCGTGGAATCCTACAGCGCACAGACCCTAGAACAGTCCAAAAAGGCCAAAATTGACCCCGGACTCCGCAAGGGCTACCAATGGCTCTTAAACTACATCATACGGCGTTACGGCGACATAAACTTACGCGTGCAAACCGATATACACGCTGACTTAGAGCGCCGCAAGCGAATGATGACCAAAGCCTCCAATAGAGCCTCCCAGACCTTCACGGCAGTCAGCGATGACATAGCAACGCAAACGGGCTTCGAAAACCCGAATTTCGATCCCAAATCGCCGGACATAGACAATATAGAGCGAGAGAAAGATCTGGAACGCGGTGTTATTATAGTTAAGCCTATAACGAACAGCGTTGATACTACTATGACTATAGAAAGCATGGATTCTGATAATACTAGTGCCAAGCCGAAGCTGTCGCCTTTGTTTGGACGAGCCAGTAATAGCACGGTTGAGACGGTAAGGATAGAATTGGAGTCGAGGAATGAGTATAGGAAGCTCTCTCCGATAGTGAGGAAGAAGTCTGGGAACCAACACATCGATTTTATGAACAGACCGCAGTCCAGCCCCACTTTTAAGAAGAATTCTAATAAGGTACGTGCAAGTTCAACATCAACCTTATGTATCGTTTTGTCTCCTGACATCCGCGAACCTTAACTTCGAACTCCTATGTTCTTGTGATTAATTTCGTTGTGGGTCCAATAACAGTTAACTTTCCCCCGGGACAAACTTGACCTTCATTGGTTGTGTTTTTATTGGCGGTCAAGCTGTAGATCCTGGCTACACAGGAGTTGCAGCTGTGGGAACGAGAGGTGGGAATAGACCCGTTAACCTCGTGTATACAGTCAGTCCATCCAGAACAGACCCAAGCTGAACGTTCCAAAAACTACCTTCTACACACATTGCTGTCAAACTTATATCAATAAAGTTTTGAAAACGTTTTCTATAAATTTAATCCTAACACTGATTCGTAACCAGTGCTAAGTAGAAACTCGGTCACCGTTTGACTCTTTGAATTACAATTTTGACCTATTTATGTGACCTCTCCACTTATAACATTCCACACATCTTAGCCGTTTAGTTATTAAAGTTGCCGCACAATCTTGCAATAAACGGTTCAGTTTAAGATTACTTTTTTACTTCCATAATTTCATATAGGGCTCTTTCCCATGGAATCATTCCGTTTTTGCAGGAAATGCTTTTTACAGGATTCCTTTGCAGTATTCGTGTTTTAATAGTAACATTCACGTGACCTTCCTGTTTGCAGTGTCCCGCAAAAACTAATCCGTTTGAATTTGCGTCTCGAATCTCAAACGCACACTTCTGTGTTCACACGACTATCCAGTTTTGCGTAATCGTGCATTAAACTGGATTGCCGTGAGAAAGGGCCCTTAGCCTAGTCGCAGACCACCAATTTTTAGTCGGCCGATAGTTGGCCCGATTCTATTTTGTATAAAGAATCAATCTGTGTAATTTGTGCGCACTTCCATACATGCCCATACTGATTAACTGGCCGACAAAAATCGGTGGTCTGCGCCCAGGCTTACACGTGTTCATAATTTCCGCTCCATCCAGACGGATTCAACCAGCAAAAACTCCTCGTACGTGGAGGATGAATCCAAAGAGCAGTACCCGGCCATGGATCGTAACGCCACCTGGGACGGAGCGGTAACGAAGCACCGCGTCTTGGTCAACGACGTTGAACTCTCACAGATGCACCGGGAAATCGTGCTTACTGAACGTGGTAAGTTCTTGTTATAGGTCACTCCTGCCCGTTTTCACCATCAATCCCTAATTTTTGAGCGACACCTATGAAAACAAAATTCCTGTTGTTACTATAGGGGTCACTTAAAAATTAGGGATTGTTGGTGAAAACGGGCATTCATCTTCTAATTTGTTCTGTTTTCACTAGGTGGTTGGTCTACTCTTGGAAACGTGCTTATAGGTTGAACAGATTTCCACGTTCTCATGAAAAGTTATGTCGTCTTCTATCGGACATCTAATAATTACAGATTCGAAAAGGCGTCCACTGGATCCAGTATTTCTATAACGATCAGTCCTGCCCTGCCTGTATTCAGGTGATTCTCGTGGCTTTTTCTAAGAAATCGTCGGTCCGCCGAGTGGGAGGCTTGTCCAAATTGCGTTTTCCAGGCCAAACAAACCCATTTTTTTTTTAAATAAACGCAATTTCTTTTCCTGGATCGCATCTGAAATCAGGATTCATCCATGGTGTGATGTGATAATAAATTATGTGTAAAAAGCACATAATTTATTATCACATCACATCAGGCAGAGATTGGCGCTCTTAACACAGGGGTGTANGCTCGGATGGATCATCATCATCATCACTTCAAGGTCTCGTACTTCCGGGCCCCCGGTCCAAACCCCCAAGGGCCCTAGAATTTGCCATTTGGGCCTCGGATGGTATAGTCCGGTCGCCGAGCACGTCGAATTTCGTCCAATGACCCCAAGATACCCATCCTTATCGCTCGCGCGTAATTATATTGCTGTCGCGCTCGATCACTCACTGCGGCCGCCCGTCGCACAGTCGCGACGGCACTAAAATTACGCGCGAGCGATAAGGATGGGTAGCTTGGGGTGATTGGACGAAATTCTACGTGCTCGGCGACCGGACTTTATAGTTACGCCACTGTCAATTGCCCTGCAAAACTTCGTCTTCCGCAGACTACACCAGCAAGACCGCTTCTTCAGAAGTGGTGTTGCACGCGTCCACGCTGCCGCTGAGCGCGCGGCCCGCGTCGGCGTCGCAGCTGGTGCGGCGTCAGCTGGAGATCTCCGCGCAGCACAAGCGCCGGCTGAGCTTGCGATGTGAGTACTGATGGTTCAGGGTGGACTGGAGAATGAGTCTTCAGAAGTCACGACTGGAGCGGAGGCAGCTGAAGCGCACCATTAAGAATTATTCCAGAGTATTGCCTCTTAGCAAGAACTGGTTCAGGAGCTCTAGGATGGAGAACGAGCCTTCCTGGAATGGAGGCAGCTGAAGATATCCACGCACCATAAGAGAAGGCTGAGCTTGAGATGTGAGTATTGCCATTCTTTTCAAATAGATGACAGATGGGGATGCTGGTTGCTGCTCAACAGTAGAACTGAGCAAGAATTGACGCTTCAAGAGCCCTAGGCTGGAGAAGAAGCCTCCCTAGAATGGAGGCAGCTGAAGATAATGTGCACACCATAAGACGAGACTGAACTTGAGATGTATTGTGAGTAAGGACAAGAACTGATGGTTCAGGGGTTCTAGGGTAGAGAATGAGTCTTCCCAAGTCCCGACTGGAGCGGAGACTGATCTTGAGATGTTAGTATCGACGTAGGATTCAAGACACATGGGTTTGAATGAGAATTGTCAAGAACTGAAGACAGATGGAATAGAAGGAGTATTCTCAAGATGACAGATGGGGCCGAAGGAAGTTCCCGTCTTCCGCAGACTACACCAACAAGATTAGCAAGAACTGATGGCTCAAGAGTTATGGTTTGAAGAATGAGTCTTCCCAAGTACCTACTGGAGCGGGACTGAGCTTGAGATGTGAGTAATGCCGCAGACTACACCAGCAAGCCGGCCTCCTCGGAGGTGGTGCTGCCCGCGTCCACGCTGCCGCTGAGCGCGCGGCCCGCGTCGGCGTCGCAGCTGGTGCGGCGTCAGCTGGAGATCTCCGCGCAGCACAAGCGCCGGCTGAGCTTGCGATGTGAGTACTGATGGTTCTAGGGTTCTAGGGAGAATGAGTCGTCCCAAGTACTGACTGAGCGGAGGCAGCTGAAGCGCACCATATAAAGAGGAGAATTCTAGGTAATAAAGTGGAGAATGAGGCCCCACTGGAATGGAGACTGCTGAAGATATCCGCGCTGCATGAGCGGAGACGGAGCTTGAGTTGTGAGTATTGGCAGTATTGGTTCAAGAGTTGTAGGGTCCCGACTGCAGGCAGCTAAAGATATCCGCGCAGCATAAGAGAAGACTGACCTTGAGATGTGAGTATTGACAAGAACTGATGTTTCAAGGGTTCTAGGAAGGAGAGGTGGAAAGTCTTATTCCCAAGACCACCCATTGAAACGGAGGTAGCTGGAGATATCCGCGCAGCATGAGCGGAGACGGAGCTTGCGATGTGAGTACTGATGGTTCTAGGCTAAAGAAGTAATCTTGAACCGTGGCGAACAGTGTGGGGCTCTCAAAAAAAAAGGAAGATTTCATCTAAAGGATCAGTTTTGCAGTAAGCAGTAGCCCGGTCTTCGCATTATAGCTGGTGCGGCGGCAGCTGGAAATATCCGCTCAGCAGAAGAGGAGACTGAGCTGCTTGAGATGTGAGTATTGACAAGAACTGATGTTTCAAGGGTTCTAGGGAGGAGAGGTGGGAAAGCTTATTCCCAAGACCACCCATTGAAACGGAGGCAGCTGAAGATATCCGCGCAGCACAAGCGGGGGCTGAGCTTGCGATGTGAGTATTGACAAGTTACTGATGGTTCAAGAGCTCTAGGATAGAGAATGAGCCCCCCTGGAATGGAGACAGCTGGAGACAGGGAATGCTGGTCAACAGTAGAACTGTTGCAGAATAAGCTTGAGATCTCTTTAGTAAAATAGAGAACATAGGTACTTCGCTAAGCAATCGATTGGGCGTCAACGTCGCAGCTGGTCTGGCGGCAGCTGGAGATATCCGTGGAGACTGACTTTATTGGTAAGAACTGACGGCTCAAGAGTTACAGGATAGAGAATGAGTCTTCCCAAGTCCCGACTGGAGTGGAGACTGAGCTTGAGATGTAAGTATTCCATAGGATCCATGAACGATGGGGTCGAACAGTACTAGAATGGAGAATGAGTTCTCTCTAGCAGTCGCCAAGCCTTTACGTCCTAATTTCCAACTCGAAGCAAGTGAGTGGCCCAAGAATTCTATGGTTGAGGATGAACCTTCCAAGTCCCGACTAGAACGTAGGCAGCTGAAGATATCGTCTGAGATGTCAGTACTATTGACGTAGGATTTATGACAGATGGGTTGTCAAGAACTGAAGACAGGATAGAAGGAGTATTGTCAAGATGACAGATGGGGTCGAAAGAAGTTGCTGTCTTCCGCGGAGAATAAGTCTTCACAAGTCCCGGAATGGAGGTAGCTGAAAATACATGCACCTGGTGGCCTCCTCAACCCGTCAAAACCTTTTGCTTCTAATAAATTAGAGTGGTTCTGTAGTGACCTAAAAACTAAATGACCTGATAATTGCGAAATTTGTTTTTGAAAATTAAATTTGAATAATGATGAGTTGCCAAAGGAATAAAGACTACGATTGTTTCCAGACATGCAGCGCAACAAAACCAGTCCCGAACGCGTGTCTATGCTCATCTACGAGCCGAAAGCGCAAAGGCACCTCGACAAGGGAGACTTTGAGCACAGCGCAGTCAACTAGCACTGGTAAGTTTTTTTATATGGTGATATACAGGCCAAGAGCTTACCATCAGGTAAGTGATGATTAGGCCGAAGGTGGAAGCGAGCTTCACCCGGAATCCTCAACCACGGAGGAACTGGCTATCTTACCTCTTAACTGTCGGAACACAACAATGCTGTTAACATTGTTGTTATGGCGACAGACTTAGGTAAGATGGTGGTAGCTGGCCAGTTATTTCTTGTTATTTGTTTATTTATTGAATAGAAACGAAATTGGGTTATTACTTAAGTGACATTCAAATTCAAAATGGAGTTAAGATAACGATCCTCTATGGTTGAGGATTCCGGGTGAAGCTCGCTTCCACCTTTGGTCTGCTGATCATCGTTTTCCATCAGGTGCAGGCCAAGAGTTTCCTTATTTTTCTATGTTATTATTGAGATTTTTTAAAGTAAATTAATTTGAAAGAGAAGAGAAGAGTTTCAATTGAGTTGAACGTTGCTCTGCTCTGTTCGGTCACTTGCAATCAACTGAATAAGTTTATCTTAGTTCGGTACAGGCCTGTTTATAGACCAAAGGTTAACTGGCAGAGAATGCCCAATAGGGATGTTTCCTGGGTAAAAAAGCAAGTTTTAATTAGTCCGTCAGCTGTTAGCCTATCAAAAACTACTCGACACGTATTTTTCACTTTTTAAAACTAATGAAAATGTAGAGATAAAGCGTGCCAAAGTTCTAAAGAAAAGGCCCGTGACGTCAGTAAGTGCGTAAAAATGCAGCACTTTGTGACGTCGCGCGGAACTTCAACGCACTATAACTTTGTAATTATTTGTTTGATTGACAATCCAAAATATACGTGTCCATTATTTTTTTATATTAAAATTGACGGACTAAAAAAAATTGTTTAGGAAACTAGCCTATAGCATTAAGTTCGCCTTATGTTGCCAATTATATGGCATTAAAGATGAAATAAAATAGACGTTTATATGACTAACTTATGTTTCTGTTGGTTTCAGGTTAAATAAGTTGATTCAAACGAATTTATTGATTTAAGATTCGGCGATTGAGTACGATTGTACTGTAACTTGTTTTAATTTAAGTATATTATATTTAAAATTATTATATGGAGTACTGTTAACAGGGTATAGATAGATTTATTCTACGAATTTAGCGAAATGATTAAAATTTGGTCTGAGTAAAAAATATTTGGGAAAATTTAAAAATGTACAGTCAAGAAATACATAGTAACCTACTACAAAAAAGTTATGTATATTTTTCATTTATTTATTGTAAAAATTCGTGAATAACTTTATTTTTTCAAATGATTGCCCCAAATTAACACCTGTTAAAATTACGTTATTGATTTAAATAATTATTTTTGTTTCACTAGTTCAAGTATAATTAATATATTCTAAAATTACTTTAAAGTATATTTATAAGTTATTGTTACCGTTCACTAGTCTTAATTTTTTATAAATTATTAGAAACAAAAAACATATTACTGATTGTACAGATGATTATGTACAAATTGTATCACTTTGTTTATTGTAAAATAAATATTAGACAATAACATATTATGTCAATATTTTTTTGTAAAAAAATGGTAAAAACTATGTCATTATTAATAATACGGACGACAGCACAACAAGCTATGGCACTTTATTCATTTTAACAAGTGCCATGTTTCTACAAAAAAATGTATAATCCTGATGTGCTGGGCGACTGTAAAGTTTAAAATTACCAACGTATAGTCAAATTATAGTCGGTACCTATACGGGTATACATACATAGGAAATATATCTTTAGGTTAGTGATGTGCCTGAATTATTTTGGTACCACAGACGTGCTGAAATTTTGAGAAGGGTATAATATTTTTTCCACTTAAAACATTTTTGTAAGCTATTTTTGCAATTTAGGTACAGTCAGCGTCTTAATAGTAATAGTTCGTCACTAATAGTACCTACGCACAACACTTTTAAAAACATATTTCATTTTATTTGTAAATACAATGTTAACAACAGATAACTAGGTACATGATGTAGCATGTAATCTATTTGGATTTATTTAAATTTTTAAGATCTATCGCTTTCGGATATTAATTACGTGTATCCTCCACATATGAAACAAAAATGACCGATTTTCTCTTATGATAGTTAATTACAATAATAAATTATTGCAAATACGTTAATTACGTAGGTATGCACGTCTGTGAGTTACTAAAAATGGCATAAAGTTATAACGTAGATTTCTATAAAAATGTAAGTCTTTATTGTTATTAAATGTTTACATGTATAAGAACATTATACAAATAGAGTAAATTAGTTTTGTATTTTGTGTACGACGTAATATGATTCGTAATAAAAAAATGTAATTAAACTTTTGTATTAAATTTATTTTTCGTATTAAAAAATAAATTCGTAATAAAAAAATGTAATTAAATTAACACCTTATGTAATGTAAGTTAGGGTCCTAGTTCGATTGCGAGAGAATGCCATAATTATGGCATTAAGTTTTACTTTTTACACACACACACACACACACACACACTTATTTAGAAATAAAACAGCAAATTCATAGTATACGTATAATAAAAACAAAGTATAATACAATAGTATAATCATATTTCAAAAAGTTTGACTGTATTATGGCAGTGTTTAGTACAAAGGTAACCTAACCCAATCTACGTTGTCATATTGTGCTAGACTAACGAAAGAAATAGAAAAAATACAGGGTAACTATGAAAATGTGTAATTCCTTGAGAGTATACAGAATATTGATGTTTTTCAATTTTTTTCACAAGATTAATTAGGCATAGACGAAATATAAATGTGATGTTATAATATTTATGAAATAAAAACTTATTCTTTCAAAGAATTATACTCAATAGTTTACAGAACAGGGAAAATATTTGTGACAATATAACACAAAAACTACATTTTCTCAGATATATTATTAATTTCTGAAAAGTGCCAATATTAATTATCATTCACTGTGATAATTTAATAGTTTACAAAAAGATAAGTCACCAAACACTTATAAATTATAAACATTTATTAATAACGATTTTTAAATAACAATATCCGGCNTAAGCTGCGACTCTGCCTCCGCCGACCACGTAGGTCCGCAACGAAACAGCCTGTGCTGATAAACGTGGATAGGCTGAATGATCGCGAGGCCAGGGGAGAAATATGCTGAAGCCTTGTCCAAGAAGCTATTGCCAGTCAAAGAGACAGATGATGTCAGTGCTGCTTGGGGATGTTTGTCATCTCATCTCTTGGAAACCGCTTCCGTTGCCTTGGGTATGAAATACCGACGTAATGAAGACTGGTTCGATGAGAACGATGGGGTTCTCAGGGCAGCACTCGACAAACATCGAAATCTCTTGCAAAAGCATAGAAGACGAGGTGGAAGTGTCGCGGTAGTCAAAGAAAGTGACCTTGAACTGCGTAGGCTGTCTCGACAAATAAAAGACAAGTGGTGGCGGGACAAAGCTTGTCACATGCAGTGGCTCGCTGACACAAACCAACTTGGGGAGTTCTACTGCGAGGTACGTAAGCTGATTGGTACACCATATCGGGCAAAAGTACCCTTGAGGTCTGTAGACGGTACGCAATTACTGACAAGTAAGGAAGATGTACTAAGGCGTTGGGCCGAACACTTCAATACTTTGCTCAACGTAGATCGATCAACTGATCTTAATAATATCAGCTTAATGCCTCAACTCCCTCTAGCCACTGAGTTGGATGAGCCCCTGACTTGTGGGGAGGTTGTCACTGCCATCAGGCAGCAGCAAAACAAGCGGGCGGTTGGCATTGACCTTATACCGGGAGAGCTGCTCAAGTGCGGGGGTGAGGAGTTGCATAANTCGAAAGAAGTTTCCCTGTTGAGACTCGATAAGCGATGCGATGGTGTAGTCTGCTATGGGGCCGAAGGACGTATCTTCCGCAGACTACACCAGCAAGACGGCGTCTTCAGAAGTGGTGCTGTACGCGTCCACGCTGCCGCTGAGCGCGCGGCCCGCGTCGGCGTCGCAGCTGGTGCGGCGCCAGCTGGAGATCTCCGCGCAGCACAAGCGCCGGCTGAGCTTGCGATGTGAGTACTGATGGTTCCAGGGTAGAGAATGAGTCACTTGGAATGGAGACAGGGAATGCTGTTTGCTGGTCAACAGTAGAACTGTTGGACAATGAGCTTGCGATGTGAGTACTGATGGTTCTAGGGTGGAGAGGTGGGAAGGTTATTCTCAAGACCGCTCATTGAAACGGAGGCAGCTGGAGATATCCGCGCAGCAAAGCGGGGGCTGAACTTGCGATGTTAGTATTGTCAAGTGTCAAACACTGATGCTTCAAGAGCTTTAGGGTGGAGAATGAGCCTTCCTGGAATGGAGACAGCTGGAGACAGGGAATGCTGCTTGCTGGTCAACAGTAGAACTGTTGGACAATGAGCTTGCGATGTGAGTACTGATGGTTCTAGGGTTCTAGGGTGGAGAATGAGTCGTCCCAAGTACTTACTGGAGCGGAGGCAGCTGAAGCGCACCATATAAAGAGGAGAATTCTAGGTCATAAAGTGGAGAATGAGCCCCCACTGGAATGGAGACTGTTGGAGACGGAGCTTGAGTTTTGAGTATTGGCAGTATTGGTTCAAGAGTTCTAGGGTCCCGATTGGAGGCAGATAAAGATATCCGCGCAGCGCAAGCGCAGGCTGAGCTTGCGATGTGAGTACTGAATCGACATAGGATTCTTGAACGATGTGGTCAAACAGTCCTAGAATGGAGAAGGGGAATGCTGGTTGCTGGTCAACAGTAGAACTGTTAGACAATGAGCTTGAGATTTCTTTAGTAAAATAGAAAACATTAATACTTCGCTAAGCAATCGTCGGCGTCGCAGCTGGTGCGGCGCCAGCTGGAGATCTCCGCGCAGCACAAGCGCCGGCTGAGCTTGCGATGTGAGTACTGATGGTTCCAGGGTAGAGAATGGGTCACTTGGAATGGAGACAGGGAATGCTGCTTGCTGGTCAACAGTAGAACTGTTGGACAATGAGCTTGCGATGTGAGTACTGATGGTTCTAGGGTGGAGAATGATGAGTCTTCCTAATCCAAGGTCCCGACTGGAATGGAACATAAGAGAAGGCTGAGCTGGCTAGCTGGCTGATGAGTATTGCCATTCTTTTCAAATAGATGACAGATGGGGTTTCTGGCTGCTGCTCAACAGTAGAACTGAGCAAGAATTGATGCTTCAAGAGCTTTAGGCTGGGGAATGGACGCAGCTCAAGATATCCGCACACCATAAGAAGAGACCGAACCTGAGATGTATTGTAAGTAAGGACAAGAACTGGTCTTTCAAGGGTTCTAGGGTAGAGATTGAGTTTTCTCAAGTCCCGACTGGAGCGGAGACTGAGCTTGAGATGTTAGATTGACGTAGGATTGGGTTTGAACGAGTATTGTCAAGAAGTGAAGATAAATGGAATAGAAGGAGTATTGTAAAGATGACAGATGGGGTCGAAAGAAGTTCCCCTGTCCAGACTCGATAAGCGATGCGATGGTGTAGTCTGCTATGGGGCCGAAGGACGTATCTTCCGCAGACTACACCAAGCGCCGGCTGAGCTTGCGATGTGAGTACGGATGGTTCCAGGGTAGAGAATGAGTCACTTGGAATGAAGACAGGGAATGCTGCTTGCTGGTCAACAGTAGAACTGTTGGACAATGAGCTTGCGATGTGAGTACTGATGGTTCTATGGTTCTAGGGTGGAGAATGATGAGTCTTCCTAATCCAAGGTCCCGACTGGAATGGAACATAAGAGAAGGCTGAGCTGGCTGACTGAGATGTGAGTATTGCCATTCTTTTCAAATAGATGACAGATGGGGTTGCTGGTTGAGATATCCGAGGAGACTGACTTAATTGTCAAGAACTGATGGCTCAAGAGTTACAGGATAGAGAATGAGTCTTCCAAAGTCCCGACTGGAGCGGAGACTGAGCTTGAGATGTTAGATTGACGTAGGATTGGGTTTGAACGGGTATTGTCAAGAACTGAAGACAGATGGGGTAGAAGGAGAATTGTCAAGATGAAATATGGGGTCGAAAGAAGTTCCCCTGTCGAGACTCGATAAGCGCTGCTATGGTGTAGTCTGCTATGGGGCCGAAGGACGTATCTTCGGCAGACTACACCAGCAAGCCGGCGTCCTCGGAGGTGCTGCCCGCGTCCACGCTGCCGCTGAGCGCGCGGCCCGCGTCGGCGTCGCAGCTGGTGCGGCGCCAGCTGGAGATCTCCGCGCAGCACAAGCGCCGGCTGAGCTTGCGATGTGAGTACTGGTGGTTCCAGGGTAGTAGAGAATGAGTCACCTGGAATGGAGACAGGGAATGCTGCTTGC